TAAACATTTTACTTGACATTAAATCCACAGAAAAGGGGATAGATAGATAGATAGATAGATAGATAGATAGATAGATAGATAGATAATGAACAGATTATGACACATAGATAGATAGATAGATAGATAGATAGATAGATAGATAGATAGATAGATATAAACAAATTGTGACAGATATATAGATAGATAGATAGATAGATAGATAGATAGATAGATAGATAGATAGATAGATAGATAGATAATGAACAGATTGTTACAGATAGATCATACATATCTATAAGTCTATCATTCAACAATGCTTAGAATATTGCTGCCACATATGGTAGCCCAGCTATTTACCTTGAACTCATTATTAATCCTTCTGTTCCTAACTTATCCAAACCCAATCGTTGATGATTGCATTGAGAAGGAAAATCCGAGTTGTATTGACGGTGGTGGGTATTATGCATATTAATTAATACATTCTTAATAGCTCTGTTATTTAGCATTAAGCACTGTTTTTATTACACAAAAGGATATATATATATATATATATATATATATATATATATATATATATATATATATATATATGAATTGAATACTTACATGTACATTTATTTATATACATCCACTTGAGCATATATATATATATATGTGTGTGTGTGTGTGTGTGCGTGTGTGTGTGTTTAAACACACACACAAAATTACCAGACGCCATCCGAAACATACAAATAGAAAATAAAAACATAATAACCTCGTCCACATGTAAAAAAAAGATTAAAAATAATGGAAGCCTTAATAATAAAATAGAAAAGCCACTCAATATTATTAACTACGAACGCGGCCACAATGTGCTGATTGTGTTCGGGAAATAAATCATTCCTACAACTCTAAAAACATGCACGCATCCTATGCACCCAATTAAAAAGCAAAAATAAAATCATCCTTGATAATGGCTAAAAGTAAAACCGAAATCGCTCGGAACTACAGAACATTCCTACACACTCTGATGAAAAGCTTAATCGCAGTACCATGTCTATCGTCTGTAATAAAACATGTATAAATGAAGAATTGCTGCCTAAATGCACAATTATCAAATATATGTTACAGTTTTTTGTGTATATGTATGACTGTATATGACTAGTGAGCCAGTCAAAATGACTCAACTCGCTTTATAGTCTACCAATAGAAGGTTAACCAATCAGAAGCCGCAGAACATTCTATCTGTCGTGTATAAAGGCGGCCATTTTTTGTTTATCCTACCGGAAAGACCGGTGCCAACTTGACAGGCGAAGATGATAGAAGGAAGAACTACGCTCTGCTACTTTGCTACGATATCCACTGCGAACCTGAACTACGCTTTCCTACTGTCTCCGAAATATTCACTGCCAACCTCTGGATTCTATACTCGAAGACGACCGTCAAAATGTCTAACAATATATATATATATATATATATATATATATATATATATATATATATATATATAGTTTTTAGGGTGGGCTATATATTTATGGGATAAAGTGCTCGATATCAGAGATAGAACGTACGTTAATATAAATATAAAAGTGAACACTGAAGTCAACACTCAGAGGCAACAGGCTGTTTCATGCTAGGCGCAATGACAATATATATATATATATATATATTAGGATATTAAAACAAAAACATGTTAAGAATCGCTAATTGTAAATTACTGGGGTAGTAATTTGCAATCGCTTGAGGAGACGCCTTGATATGCGTTAAAATGCGACCACAATTGTGTAGCGATTTTAGCATGTTTTTTGTTTTAATATCATGAAATAATATATATTTTGATCTACTCTGTACTGGGCCCTCTTTTAAATTGAATGTCAAGAAAGTTGAAATTGTACTCTATTCCTTCTCATCTTGCCTGGATATATATATATATATATATATATATATATATATATATATATATATATATATATATATGTGTGTGTGTGTGTGTGTGTGTGTGTGTGTGTGTGTGTGTGTGTGTGTGTGTGTGTGTGCACAAGTTTTTTTGTTTTTTTTGTTTTCTTTAAATTGACCAATCAGATAATGATGCGTTATTTATCTGTAACACATTCTATGTATATAATCTGGGATCTGTTTTGATTCTCTGGAAAATATGTCAAAGCTTAGTTAAGACTGTCGAAGATGTCTTGTGAGGTTATATTATGCTAATCATGAGAGTGTAGCAGCAACGACGGGAGCTTATAAAACAAGGAACAATTTAGAACAGGATCCTTTTGCTCTATCAACAATCTATCATCTGTAAATCTGAGTATGAAACAACGTTGAAAAATACAAGAGATTAAAACATTCACTAGAAAGAAATGCTGATCTAACCAGGAAAGTATAATCAATTTAAAGAAAATGCACACACGGTATATATTAAATGTCACTCAACATCAGAATTCACATATTCTATATATTACATTAACACAGGTCTCCGGTAATGATCCGGTAAGAGTTTGGATTAATTAATTAGCAAATGAAGATAATAATATTAATAATAATAAATTGTTATTAAAGACCACAAACAAAAACAGTGCCTCCTTATTGATATGGCAGTCCCTGCTGACTGCAATGTATCTTTGAAGATATTCAAAAAACTGTCAAAATACAAGGACCTTGAAATAGAAATATCGAAAATGTGGCATATGGGAACATCAACAATCCCTGTTGTAGTTGGAGCCCTAGGATTGGTTGGAAAAGATTCCTGTAGACTAATTGAAGGGATTCCTGGAAGTCCATGTCTCAAAGAGATACAAAAAATTGTTCTGACAAGTACAGCCCACACTTTACGAAGGGCTTTATCTGTGTAATTTTTTTTTTTTTTTTTGTCAGTGGAAAGTGTCATGATGCCATTTCTAACCTTAGGTCCCTGGGCTGGACCCGGAAAGAAATATGTAAACGCCAGAAATCAAAGAAAATAATAATAATAATAATAATAACCCAAACCTGTTACACCACCCGGACCCGGTTACAGAGATAGGGCCTGTAACAATTTTATGGGATTGCACAATATGCAGAGACAGAACAATCAAAGCTAACCACCCAGACATTGTTATTAGAGACCGAAAAAAAGTGCCCCCTTATTGATAGGGCAGACGACAATGTATCTTTGAAGATTCTCAAAAAGCTATCAAAATAAAAGGACCTTTAAATCGAAATCTCAGAAAATGTGGCACTTGGGAACATCGACAATTCCTGTTGTAGTTGGAGCCCTAGTATTGGTTGGAAATGATTCCAGTAGACTCATTGAAGGGATTCCTGGAAGTCCATGCCTTAAAAAAATACAAAAAATTGTTCTCACGAGTACAGCCCAAACCTTAAGGTCTTTATCTATGTAAAATGTGTGTGTGTGTGTGATGTAGCATGGAGATCTGAAACTTTGTGTATCTATGTTCATAAGAGGTAGTAATAGAGAGACATCATGGCAGACTCAGGACTTGGTCGACTGGGGGTTTTTTAAGTTTCAAGAATGAAACAGTCAAGGCGTTAAACATCTAGATACTTGGGAACACCCCCAATCAGATAAGGTCTGTGGAAGACGGTGTTTACAAATCTGAAGGTATTTCTAACTGGGCTCCATCTTCAAGGTCACGTGCTAGTTTTATCAAAAACCTCTCCCTATTTCGCGCATATTTGGCTGTTATGCCTGTGCGTGGTATACATTTATTAGACTAGCTGCCATGATGGGTAGATTGGGTTTGTATATTTATACCTCAGCCTACATTTTTTGGCGTACCGCTCTCTTTTCCTTTTCTTCTTTTTTTTCTACGTGCCATGTCCCTTCAGTGCATCGGTGATTATGGCTCTCCACAATTTCCTGAAATTTGTAGCTCTTTGTAAACTTTTCGCTATCTCTCCTTATCTCTGTTCTGTCAACCATTTACGCAAGCCCTATTTTCTATATATCCCTTCAGGACGTCAGCGGTCATGGCTCTCCACAATTTCTTTTCCTTTATAGGTCTGAGTAAATTTTGTCTTTTCGCTATCCCTCCTTATTTCTGTTCTGTCAACCATTTACTCAATCCCTTTCTTCTTCTCTATGTCCCTTCAAGACGTGGACTATCATGGGTCTCCACAATTTCCTTTCCTGTATAGCTCTTAGTAAATTTTGTCTTTTCGCTATCTCTCCTAATCCTTGTTTTGCCAACCATTTACTCAAGCCCTTTCTACTTCTATATATCACTTCAGGGCGTGGACGATCATGGCTCTCCACAATTTCTTTTCTTTTATATGTTTGAGTAAACTTTGTCTTTTTGCTATCTCTCCTAATCCCTATTATGCCAACAGTTTAAACAAGCTCGCTAGGTAAGTTATGCGCTGTTGTCCTCTGCCTATTATGCCTTCAATATGCCCTGTGAGTCTCAAATTTGCCAAGCCTTCCTTCCTCACGTTGCACCCTAGAAATAGGCTGTTCGTTCGCTTCCCTACCTCCTGTAAGAGCTCTTCCTTGTGTATGCTATCAAAACTGTGTCATCTGTATGTCTTATGTTTTTAAGGTTGTTGCTGAAAGAATTAAATCAGGTAGAACCTCTAATTCTCTCCGAATCGCTTTATTTTTCACTCAGTGACAATAATGATGATGATTTTCAAACTGTACGAATTTTCAGAAATAAACTATAGATAAAGTGACAGATGATATGTATAAAAAATCAGGTAACGCGATGACCAGTCTTTATATATATATATATATATATATATATATATATATATATATATCCAACTTTATTTCCGCCTTCCATCTTTTGTCAAGTTTCTTCAGCGTGCGACAATGTCCGATTCCCGTTGGTCACCGTACAAGTAGCCATTAAAACTAATTTTCGTCAGAATCTCCCAATCATTTCTCAGTCGAAATCCAATTATCCAATAGCAGGCATTACTTACAAGCCTGTTTTTTTTAAAATATTTTTATTTATTCATGCAGTTTTCTTTCTGCTATTTCTCTTCTTTTTTGCTATTTCCTTCTTTCAAACAACGATGGATAATCACGTCTTTTCAAAATGGCCGACCACGTCGACATATTCCTGCTCTTCAGCGTCGGAATAGCCTCCCTTCGCCTCCCAAACTTGAACATGCCCATTGGTGTAATAAAATAAACTATAAGACAAACATAACAAAAAATTAAAGAAAACAGAGAAGGAAACAGAGATAGGGAAAGAAAAAGAGAAAAGAAATTATTTTTACTTTTTTGCTGTTACTTTTGCAATTATTATTATTTTTTTATATTTTTATTTTTTTTATTCTACAGCTTCGGTTTCATTCCAACAACTTTTTTTTTTTTTTTTTTTTTTTTTTTTTTATTATTATTTTCTTTCGTTTTGAGTGATATTTATTTATTTTCTTGTAGGGGTCGTTCTTTGCTGCCGATTGAAATGTCTCCCTCCCTTCGAAAAACGAATACATCAATCTTGGAATGACCGTGACGCCTAACATACAGCCTCACCGGAAGTCTACTTCAGTTTGGGCACGTGCACAGAGGTAGCGCCTACAAAAAAATGTGTCCACTCTGAAAATTAAGAAAAAAAATCTACTAAATTAAATAAAGATGTAGAGGGGAATTTTAGAAGACTTCAAGGAAGCTGAGTGCTTTCCGCCTGACTCTGATCGCATCAAAATCACATGTTTAAATCCTAATTCCTCAGTGAAAAAGAATTGTAGCTTTGACCATGGTTGTAGTTGGCGGGAAACGGATTTATACTTCACTGGAATTTAAAACAAGGAAGAATACGATATATTTTTTTTCTTGTTCTTTTCTTCCTCATTTTTTTCTTTTTCTCCTCTTCTTTTTTTATCATCATTTTCTTGTTTCGACTTTTCTTCGTCATTTTCTTCTTTATTCTTCCGCTTCTTTTTCTCCCTCTTTTTCTTCTTCTTTTTCTTTTTCTTCTTTTTCTTCTTGCACTGAGGATCTTTTTCTTCTAGTTCGCTTGTTTCTGATAGCATTTCTGCATCTTTCTCTTGTTCCGTTCTCTCTTGTATCATTCTTCATTCATTTCTAGTTCAGCTATCTCTTATCGCCTTCTTTCTCCTCTTTTTCTTCTTCTTCTTCTACATCTTCTTCTTCTTTTTCTCCTTCTGCTGCTGCTGCTGTCTCTGATAGCTTTCTTCTTTATTCTCTTCTTGTAGTTCTTATTCTTCTTCTTCTTCTTCTAATTATGCTGTCTGATAATCATCATCTTTTTTTCTAGAGCTTTTTCTTTACCTTTTTCTTCTCTTCTTTTTCTCATTCTACTGTTCATTCGATGGGCTTCATTCTTTGTCTTCTGTTTTTTCTTCTTCTTTGATAGACGCCTTCTTCTTCTTCTTTTTCTGCTGTTTCTTACAGCCATCTTCTTTTTTTCTTTTCTAGTTCTTTGTCTGATAGACTTCTTCTATGTTCTGTCTGATAGCTTTCTTTTTAATCATCATCTTTTTTCTTCTTTAGGTCTTTTTCGTTTTTCTCCTTCTTTTGGTAACCTTTTTTTTCTTCTTCTTTTCGTTTCTTCTTCGTTTTTTCTTCTTTCTGACATGCTTCTTTTTCTTCGCCTCTTCCTAGTTCTGCTGTCGACTTCTTCTAGGTCTTCTTTCTCTTCTTCTTTTCTTCTTCTTCTTCTTCTTCTTCTTCTTCTAGTCCTGTCTTTTTCTTCTTCTTCTTTGATAGACTGTCTCTTCTTCTTCTTCTTCTTCTTCTTTGCTGTCTGTTTTTCTTCTTTTTTTCTTCTTCTGGGTCTACTGTCTCTTACAGCCATTTCTTCTTCTTTTTTCTTTTCTTCTAGTTCTTGTCTGATAGACTTCTTCTTCTGTTCTTCTTCTTCTTTTTCTTCTTCTAGTCTCTTACAGCCTTCTTTCTCTTTTTGTCTTCTTCTTCTTCTTCTTTTTCTTCATCATCGTCATCATCATCTTCTTCTTCTTTTTCTTCTTCTAGGGTCTCTTACAAACTTCTTTTTTTCTTCCTTCTTTTCTTCTTCTTCTTCTTTGCTGTCTCTTACAACCTTCTTCTTTTTCTTCTTTTCTTCTTTTTCTTCTCTCTTCTTTTTCTTCTTCTTCTTCTTCTTCTTCTGCTGTCTCTTCCTCTTCTTCTTCTTTTTTTCTTCTAGGTCTAGTTCTACTTCTTTTCTTCTTCTTCTTCTTCTTCTTCTTCTATGTCTGCTGTCTCTTACAACCTTCTTCTTCTTCTTTTTCTTCTTCTAGGTCTACTGTCTCTTCTTTTCTTCTTCTTCTTCTTCTTCTTCTATGTCTGCTGTCTCTTACAACCTTCTTCTTCTTCTTCTTCTTCTTCTTCTTCTAGGTCTACTGTCTCTTACAATCTTCTTTTCTTCTTCTTCTTCTTCTTCTTCTTCTTCTTCTTCTTCTTCTTCTTCTTCCAGGTGTGCTGTCCCCTTAGCCTTCTCTCTCTTCTGCTTCTGTTCCAGCAACTAAATAAAGCCTGAAGAGAGACAGGTTCATGGTCAGGGAGCTCTTGACATGTGAAGTTTGCACTAAAATGTCTTAATTCATAAAAATCTTGAATGCTGAAATCATTTGTTTTTCATTTGTGTATTTTTTCTCATTTCTTCATTGCCTTAAATCGATGGCATCAATACAGCATTGGTTTATATGGTTGTAACAGTAATGGCGCCGATGGTGACATGGTTGTGACTTTCTCAAAGATGGTATCAGAGCAGTAACAGTTGGTAGCAATGAAGACATAACTGCTGCTATTGGTGTCAATACTTTACGGATAGTGTACGTGTGAGAGAGGCGACACTTGCGAATCGGTGGTAAGAGGGGAAGTAATAGAAAGTGTCACGTGACGTGATTTCGAGTGGACATCTCTGGTTGTGACATTGACACCATTAAATCCACTCGAAAAAAAAAGATATCAATTGGGGCAATTTTTATTAGTAGAATCTATATCATAAAATTAGAGGTGATTCTCTGTCTGTCACACTTGCTGAAGTGTAAATTGTAAATGCTTGTGTAATGTATATACGGATGTATGTGTGTATTTTTATATGAGTGAATGACTTACATATGCTTGTGACATTTAATGTACACACGCACAGGTACATCCACAACTTGACTGAATTCGAAATAAGAGATTGGAATAATATATTCGCTGCTACTCAGTCTGGGCAACACCTACCCTAGCTTTAGCAAGAAACAATGCTGGGAAATATCCATTGTATTTTGGTCAGACTCTTCAAAAGTGAAAACTAGAAGCAACAGAGATGTGTTTCTTCCGGAAAATATAGTGAATGAAACAAAGCGCATGAGAAATGACGAAGTTTTAGGGAAGACAGTAAACTACATCCGCGTCCTGGGTAAGACAATAAACTACATTCAACAGCAAGGCCTCTGATCAGGAGGCTTTGAGGAGCGTGGAACCACCTCTTAATTACGGGTATTCGCAGGTCCACCTTCACCCGGAGTGGTAGCACCTGTTAGGGTCCCAGCTATGGGCAAATAGTTAGCACCCAAACTGGAGTCAAAACACTATGAAAGTGTAAAAATAGGTTTTTTTAAAAGCAATAGATATTTGTAAAGAATTATTACCAGCAATGAATTTTGGAAGGAAAATATTATTACCAGCAATACGTTTTTTGAAAAATAAAAATATTACCAGCAATGAATTAACGAAGGAAAATATTAACACCAGCAATACATTTTTGGAAAAATAAAAAATTACCAGCAATACATTTTTTAAAAAAAAATATTACTAGCAATAAAAATCTTCTCGGCATTAAATAACCCACTGAGGTGTTGATATGCCTTAAATCAAAACAAACGAAACCAAACAGAAACTATAAAAAAGCATATACTTACAATTAGAATGAAATGTATTCTTCAGTGTATTTTTAGGCAAAAAGTGTGTCTTATAAGACGGGATATATATATATATATATATATATATATATATATATATATATAATTCACAACTATCAATTACATTATTTTTTTCTTAGCAATTCGCCCCAGAAGATGATCTAGAATGAGATTGAAAGTCCTTGAGAAAATAAAAGAAATGACGAAAACTACAGCGCCTTCCTTAATGAGTTTAATAACAGCACTAAGAAATTGATCCGTGTATATGAAAGGATTAAAATAAAAATAGACATCTCAAGATTATTCAACCAAATATGCATCAATGAAGATATACCGCATGGATATATATATATATATATATATATATATATATATATATATATATATATATATATATGTGTGTGTGTGTGTGTGTGTGTGTGTGTGTGTGTGTGTAAAAATGTATGTATATAAATATATATATATATATATATATATATATATATATATACAATTTTATATATTTTGTTTATATATTATATATGCGCGGTACTTATTGAAAGCGCTCAATATCAGTGATAGATCAAACATATCTAGTTGGATTGATGTGAGTTTGTGAGCCTGAGTTTCATGCTATTTGCGATCGTCAGACAAACTGGTTAATTTTTAAATTTTAAATCCAAAATTTAAAAATTAATCAGTTACTCTGACGATTGCAAATAGCGTGAAACCCAGGGTCACAAACTCACATCCAACCAAGAATATATATATATATATATATATATATATATATAAGAAATGGACAAAAGTCCGACAATTTATTTATTAAAGACATTTTTATGTTTAACGTTCTTTTTTTTTTATAGATACAAGTATTTAAGTAAATGCTCTGTTTATAATAAACAGTATTAAATAACATTTACCGGCTTGAATGTCCGAGAAATTTTCATAGAAAATATTCGTCCTTTGACAGGATTCGAACCTGCATCCTATACGGAACCGTCATTTACGCTGACGTGCCTTAACCGACTCGGCCACAAAGGAGAGTTCGGTAGGCAAGTTTATAAGCAGTAAATTCGACCTTGCCTACTAAACGCTCCTTTGTGGCCGAGTCGGTTAAGACACGTCAGCGTAAATGACGGTTCCATGTAGGATGCAGGTTCGAATCCTGTCAAAGGACGAATATTTTCTATGAAAATTTCTCGGACATTCAGGCCGGTAAATGTTATTTAATATAATACTGTTTATTATAAACAGAGCATTTACTTAAATACTTGTATCTATAAAAAAAGAACGTTAAACATAAAAATGTCTTTAATATATATATATATATATATATTTTTTGTGTACCCATAAACAGTATACACAAATATATATTTCTGTATACTGTTTATTTTTATGGATATACCTATTTAAGTTAATGTTCGTTAATTAAACAGTATTAATTACATTTACCCTCTGGAATATTCGAGAAATTTCATAGAAAATATGCATTCACCGACAAGATTCGAACCTGCTATAACCGTTCAGTCACGGAGAACTTCCTGTTAAGCAAATGTCGAATTAATGCTTTCGTCGATCTCTTCCGATCTCTTCCGATTTGTCTGCTCTGATTTTCTGCTTATACGTTACTTTTTAAGAATATTTATAGCACGCCAAGATTAATGGTGGTTTCTCATATATATATATATTAAGTTAGCTATATATATATATATATATGTGTGTGTGTGCGTGTGTGTGTGTGAGGAACCTCATATATATATATATATACATATATATATATATATATGAGGTTCCTCACATTCATATATATATATATATATATATATATAGCTAACGTAATATTCATCAAGCCTTACTTGTAAACTGAGGCTCTCTAAAATTGCTCCCAATTTGGTCCGCACCCGCTTAGATTGTACATACAGATATATATATATATATATATATATATATATATATATATGATGGACTCTCCCATCGAGTTCGACGTATGAGCCTCCGACGACCACGAACTAATTATCTGCATGCCTATGACGGGCATGACTTTTGAGACCGGCTCGAGAACTGCACAAAAGTCCACAAACAGTACAGGAGAATGTATTATATCCAAGTGCTGCAGGAACACTGTTAGCAGTCTTATTTTGGTTTCGTCTTTCTCGTAGTCGACTAATGCTTACTTCTTGATGATGCATTATCCCTGAACGGCAGCGAGAACGATATTCTGATCTCTTCATAGCTACCACTTCAAAGTTCTTGAATGGAATGTTGCCGCAAAAAAGGTTGTTTTTCAGTTCATCTTTATACCTGAGCCAAGATCTACCAACATTTCTGTGACCATTATGGAGTTCACTGTAGAAAAGAACTTTTGTTATGCGATCATCACTCATCCTTGCCACATGTCCAGCCCAACGTAGTTGTGATTGTATTATGAATATCTCGATGGGACCAATCTTGCATTTCTCTCTCTCTCTCTCTCTCTCTCTCTCTATATATATATATATATATATATATATATATATATATATATATATATATATATATATATATATATATATATATATATATATATATATATATATATATATATATATATATATAATATCTACTTTAAGATGTAAAATAGTTGCTCATTCCTACTATAGTTTCATAAAATTAGCTCATCAAGCGGTAGGATTTAGAATTACTTTTGCCCTGTTATGGGGAACAATTATTTCTAAACGCTTATCTCGTTGTTTGCACTCGCCACTTTTGGCTAGAACCACCTATTTAGGAGCACTAATATATATATATATATATATAATAGACAATCGATATGGTAGACAGATATTGCATTTCGTATATTAAAAAATATAAATTTAACATAATTTTGGTTCTTTTCCTTCGTTTAATTTTATATTTATTTCGATTTTGATTCACATTTTAACACAAAGAGTTTAAATTCGCGGATGGTGTAATATTTGAAACGAGAAATTGGAGAACCAGGTTCGCATTCTAGTCCAGTTTTATTACATTCAATTTCTCACAGACACATTTGATAAAGGTATGAATCTCCCCAGCTATTGGCTAAATAATTTAGCAAACTTTGCTATTCAGCCTTGTGTCAAAAGGCGTCTAAGTTCAACTATGATTCCAACTGAAGTCGGCTTTAATAATAATTAATTTACCATAATTCATATTAATTCTCTCGTGAGAACACCGAACTTAGGTTGCGGGAGTCCATCTAGGCAGCAATGTTTTTATAGGGAGATACAATATTACAAAATAATTACATTTAACAGCAAGAGAAAAATATTTAAATTCAAAATCCCACGAAGCGGACTTATCAGAAGTTGCAAAGGCGGATATTGACAGGTCCGACTTTGTAAAATAATGTAACCTTAGAGGAGACCCTATTTAGGAAAAAAAATTCTAATTGATTAATTTCGAAAATAACTGCCTTTGTGTCTATGTGAGTGTGTCGACCTGGGTGAGGTCTCTACGAACATTTTTTTTTAAGGCCATGCCTCTGCACTTCGAGTTGGTGTAATGGTTAGCAAGCTTGTCTTGCTAGATCAATTACAACTGAATAGTGAGTTCGATTCTTACTGGGTGTTTCACACTTATGGCTTTTCCCGCATCTAAACTACCCTTCGAAAATCGCCATGCC